CCCAATCTAAACAAACAGTAACGGATATTATATATATGTGTCTGTAACGTATAAATACACAGTTTTACAGGGGCAAGAAAAGAAATAAAATTTCAAAGAAAATATTCAATTATTTGGTATGTACCATTTAAGCAATAAATAAATTACAAATCAAAAATCTGTTTTTTTCTTGTCTTTTTCAAGTATCAAATATTTTAGAATCGAGGAAGAAAGACAAGGTTATCATGAAGTGTAATATATGTTTGAAGTTTGACAACTGAAAAACGTTGATTTTTTTTTTTTTTGTTTTGCAGTATGTATCAATCTGTTGTCTAATGACAATAACATTAGGTTGTCATATAGAACCTTTGGTGGTTTCCTGAAGGTGTTGAAAACGTTCATTGACCTATAGGATACACTGAGTGGTAAGTATATGGATTTGTGGTGAATGTTTTTAAAGAATTTGTTGAAGAACCGACACGGTTCAGACAACGACTGTTAGCTAACTGAAAACAAGATGGATGGTGGAAAAAGAAAAAGGAAAGTTAAGGGAAAAGTTGAAAAAAGAGCATTTTTTCACAATAAGAAAGAAGACTGCTTCGAGTGAAGAAGAAAATGTGACTGAAGATTAAAAAAGGATTGTAGCGGCTTATTTTTTTGTCTTTTTTCCAGTACACTTTTTTGCCATGTGGCAGCAGTTACAATTATTAAATATAGCAGTAGGTGTATATGTGTAATCTATAAAAACGGATAAACTAATCAGATTTTTTAGTTGTCAGCTGATTTTTGCTAGCTAACAAACATATTTAGCATTAAGCATTAAGATCAATTTGCTATTTTTGAATCATTGTTGACAACAGCTCACTGGTGCTCTTTGAGATTAAGACTGAGCGGAATAATATTAAACCAAAAAATTTGATATCTGTACATCTGGTTAACAATTTTTTGGTTTTTGTTGCACGGTTCTTTAGAATTTGGGTTCTTTAGACAAAGATGATCAAAGAAAGATGTGTGTAGAATTAAAATTTCACATTTGATAACAAGCATTAGGTTTCATCGTATATCAACCATGTTTAATGACCAACTATTATTGTTGTTGTTTTTGGGTATGTTTATTTGTTGTTGATACAGAAATATGTTGATTAAGACCACTTTTAAAGATTTGAACAGTTATTGAAAGAGCTAAGGAAAAAAAAAAGAAATAAAAAAATTGAAAAACTTAATTTAGTTCTATGGTCAGATAAACAGCAGCAAAAAGCAGAGAATAATTGGATTCAATTTTAACCGATTTCTTAGCTAAACAAAAAAAAAAAAAAAAAAA